AAAAAGCTCGAATCCTAAAAGAAAATAAAAACTATTTATAAAAAGAAAAAAGAAAAAAAAAAAAACAAACAGTTGCATGAGTGAGGCTGTGAAGTCAAATCTTTAGTAATAAAGCGGCAGTGCCTTTCTTTTTTGTATTCACCCGTTCACCCCACGTGCAACTGTTTTGTACCATGCGCGCGCCGTGGCGAGGGCGACGTCGCCGCGGCGGGGACCCTCGGCGTCGGGTGGGCATCTCATCCTCCCTTTTCCCTGCTCTCCCAGAAACAGCCCTTGGCCCCCCCGCCTTGCCCCAGCACCCACCGGGGACCTTTTACTGGTGCTGTTCCCCTGAGCCGTCCCCGGCTGCAGCGGGGGAGGCCGGCCAGCTCAGCGCCCAAGTGTCCTTGGGTCCAGCGGATGCTCCCCACGGCTGCGACACCCAGGGAAAAAGGAAAAAAAAAATTTAAAAAAACCACAAAAATCAACCTTTTCTTTCGAGGTGTCTTCCCCCTCCCCAGGGACAAGCCCTGAGCTCGGCTGGACTTGAGCTGGGTTTTGCCTTTGTTTGCTCACCTAATTAAAAAAAAAAAAAAAAAATTTTTTTTTTTTGGGGGGGGGGCGGTCAAGGCCAGCCAGCATCCAGCAGGAAAATCCAAAACTGTGATTTTTTTACGCCCGCGAGCGGCGCGGAGCGAAGCTCGAGTTTGGTCAGCACTTAGGGAAATTATTTCTGTTGTCACCTTTCTCCATGTCGGGGTGCGGCCGTGCCCCAGGTTTGGCTTTCTGAATGTGCCTGATGGAAAGTGGGTCCTGCAGACGTCTATAATTTGCACACAGCGATGATAACACTAAAGTTGATTTTATACGAGTCATCAGAGTTTGCAAAGTGAGTTTTATTTTTTGTATTCCTTTATCTTTACTTAAAGGTGAATGTGTATTCCTCTGGGAGGAATAGGAAGAAAAAAAAAAAAAACAGGAATGTTAATAATGTTAAACAGAATACTTCCTCCCTTATTAATATATATATATAACCCTTATGTATTTATGCATATTGTAAGCTCACTTTAAAAAGCTTTGAACTCTCTTCTGTTGCATGCCGTTCCCGGGCAGCCTTTTATTGTACATGCATGCCTTTAGTCCTGGTTTTTCTGTACAAAGTTAGTGCACAAAGAACTATTTTTGCCTAGTTAATGTTGCCGAGCAATGCATATTTTTTAAATTTTTTTTTTTTTTTGGTCATATATGGAAATAGCATGTTTGTTACATGTAAAAGCTTCCCGATATAAAGAAATACTAATGTTTGGAGATGCCGGTCTTTGCAAGTGTACAGTTTTCAAATGTTGTTCCCAGTGAAACACCCTCGTGATTTCAACTTGCTCCAATGTATTTATTACTCATTTCCTCCCATGTAACTAGGAATCATGGCTATATTTCATATCAACGTTATATTGAAAGTGAAGGGAGATGATTAATACAAGGTTTTGTAACACTGGGGTGTGGCGCCTCCTTATTTACGCTCTTTTTGGCAGATGGCCTCATACTTTCAAAAGAAAAAAAATAGCATAAAATAAATGCCAGCCCTGTGGGGTTAGAGAGGGGAGGAGGAGTTGCGTAGTACTGCAGGAGGGTTTATTATCTTTATTTTATATATATTATAAAGCCCGTGGCAGGGCTTACAAATCCCCAGCATTCCCCATGCAGCCGCCTCTCTGTCCCTTTGGGATGCCCACCCTGCGGGAGCTGTTCGGATACAGGATTTTCTTTTGAAATCGGCAGGAATTGGGGCTGGAGCAGCTCGGAGGCTGCGGAGGCACACGGAGGAACTGGCTTGGCCGAGAGCCTCAGCGTGCACGTGGAGACATTTGGGTCGGGTTTTTAAGGTTGGCCCGATTCTGGGCTTAAAACCTGCAAATTTCGGACCCGCCTTGGGCCAGAGCGGGCAGGGAAGGATGCTCTGAGCTGGATCTGCCGCTTGCCACGGGCGCTCGGCCGCAGGAGGTGCCGAGGGCAGGACCGTGACTTCTGGCCCAGGTTTTTCCGTATTTTCTCAGCTTTGGGCTCTGCACAAGCTGGTGCTACTTGCAGCATCACCATCGCACTGAGGGTGGCAGGGACCCCCCCCCAGCTCACCCCGTGCCGCGGATGCTCGGGGAAGGGTTGGTTACCTCCGGGGGTGGTGGCTGCACGACCTCGCCGGGTGGCCTCGTGCAGGGTTAGACCACACTTATGGTTAAAAAAAGGCTTTTTCTGACATTTAAATGGAACTTCCTGTAGTTCAGCTTGTGGCCTTTGCCTTTTGTAGCTCTTTTTTTTTTTTTTCCCCCTCCATCAGACACATCAGTAAGATGCCCCTGAGCCTCCACTTCTCCAGGCTGACCAAGCCCAGCTCCTGCAGGCTCTTCTCAACCAGTCCAAGCTCTAAATCATCCGCTTGGCCGTTCGCTCCCTCCCATACCGGGGAGCCCAGCGCTGGTCCAGCACACCAGTTGTGTCTTATCCCCTCCTTGACCTGCTGGAGATGGACATCTCAATGCAGCCCAGGATGCTGGTGGCCACCTTCGCGGTGAGGATGGATTGCTGCCTCGTGGGCAGCTTGGTGTCCACCTGGACACCCAGGTCCTGCTCTGCAAAGCCGCTTTCCACCCGGTGGGCCCTTAGCGTGCACTGGGGCATGGGGTTATCCCTCCCCAGCGGCAGGACTTGGCCCCTTGCTGAACTTCATGAGGTTCCTCAGCCCATTTCTCCAGCCTGTCCAGGTCCTGCTGAAGGGGAGCATGACTTTCTGGTGCATCAGCCACTCCTCCCAGTTTTGCATTAGTTGCAGACATGTTGACAGCATCCCAGTGTCCAGGTCATTAATTACGAGGTTAAAGAGTAGCTGGCCCCATTATTGACCCCTGGGTTACACCACTAGCAACTGGTCTCCAGCTGGACTTTGTGCCAGCAAACCCAGCCCTCTGAGCCCGGCCGGTCAGCCAGTTTTCAACCCACATCAATGGTGGCAGCTGATCCAGCCTGTACTTCATCAGCCTCTCCATGAAGGTGTTGTGGGAGGCAGTGCCAAAAGCCTCACTGAAGTCAAGATAAAGCACCCACTGCTCTGCCTTCATCCACCGGCCCAGTCACCGCACCGCAGAAGGCTGGATGGGCACACGTTCCCTTTGGGAAGCCACTGGTTGACTGCTCCCCATCACCTTCTTTTCCTTCAGGTGTCTGGAAATGGTGTCCAGGCTTAGTTGCTCCACCACCTTCACAGGCGTGGAGGTGAAGCTGAGTGGCCTGCGGTTCCCCAGAGCCTCCTTTTTGTCCTTCTTGAGGGAAGGAATGACTTCTCCTCTCTTCCACTTCTCAAAAACTTCCCT